ACCAGCTGAGTTCGTCTCCTTCCAGTACTACCTTAACCAGCTGAATACATCTCCTTACAGTACTACCTTAACCAGCTGAGTTCGTCTCCTTCCAGTACTACCTTAACCAGCTGAGTTCGTCTCCTTCCAGTACTACCTTAACCAGCTGAATTCGTCTCCTTCCAGTACTACCTTAACCACCTGAATACATCTCCTTACAGTACTACCTTAACCAGCTGAATCCATCTCCTTACAGTACTACCTTAACCAGCTGAATACATCTCCTTACAGTACTACCTTAACCAGCTGAGTTCGTCTCCTTACAGTACTACCTTAACCACCTGAATACATCTCCTTACAGTACTACCTTAACCAGCTGAGTTCGTCTCCTTACAGTACTACCTTAACCAGCTGAATTCGTCTCCTTACAGTACTACCTTAACCAGCTGAATTCATCTCCTTCCAGTACTACCTTAACCAGCTGAGTTCGTCTCCTTACAGTACTACCTTAACCACCTGAATACATCTCCTTACAGTACTACCTTAACCACCTGAATACATCTCCTTCCAGTACTACCTTAACCAGCTGAGTTCGTCTCCTTACAGTACTACCTTAACCACCTGAATACATCTCCTTACAGTACTACCTTAATCACCTGAATACATCTCCTTACAGTACTACCTTAACCAGCTGAATTCATCTCCTTACAGTACTACCTTAACCAGCTGAGTTCGTCTCCTTACAGTACTACCTTAACCAGCTGAATACATCTCCTTACAGTACTACCTTAACCAGCTGAGTTCGTCTCCTTACAGTACTACCTTAACCAGCTGAATACATCTCCTTACAGTACTACCTTAACCAGCTGAGTTCGTCTCCTTACAGTACTACCTTAACCAACTGAATTCGTCTCCTTACAGTACTACCTTAACCACCTGAATACATCTCCTTACAGTACTACCTTAACCAGCTGAGTTCGTCTCCTTACAGTACTACCTTAACCAGCTGATTTCGTCTCCTTCCAGTACTACCTTAACCAGCTGAATACATCTCCTTACAGTACTACCTTAACCAGCTGAGTTCGTCTCCTTACAGTACTACCTTAACCAGCTGAGTTCGTCTCCTTACAGTACTACCTTAACCAGCTGAATTCGTCTCCTTCCAGTACTACCTTAACCACCTGAATACATCTCCTTACAGTACTACCTTAACCAGCTGAATTCATCTCCTTACAGTACTACCTTAACCAGCTGAGTTCGTCTCCTTCCAGTACTACCTTAACCAGCTGAATACATCTCCTTACAGTACTACCTTAACCAGCTGAGTTCGTCTCCTTCCAGTACTACCTTAACCAGCTGAATACATCTCCTCACAGTACTACCTTAACCAGCTGAGTTCGTCTCCTTCCAGTACTACCTTAACCAGCTGAATACATCTCCTTACAGTACTACCTTAACCAGCTGAGTTCGTCTCCTTACAGTACTACCTTAACCAGCTGAGTTCGTCTCCTTCCAGTACTACCTTAACCACCTGAATACATCTCCTTACAGTACTACCTTAACCAGCTGAGTTCGTCTCCTTACAGTACTACCTTAACCAGCTGAGTTTGTCTCCTTCCAGTACTACCTTAACCAGCTGAATACATCTCCTTACAGTACTACCTTAACCAGCTGAGTTCGTCTCCTTACAGTACTACCTTAACCAGCTGAGTTCGTCTCCTTCCAGTACTACCTTAACCAGCTGAATACATCTCCTCACAGTACTACCTTAACCAGCTGAGTTCGTCTCCTTCCAGTACTACCTTAACCAGCTGAATACATCTCCTTACAGTACTACCTTAACCAGCTGAGTTCGTCTCCTTACAGTACTACCTTAACCAGCTGAGTTCGTCTCCTTCCAGTACTACCTTAACCACCTGAATACATCTCCTTACAGTACTACCTTAACCAGCTGAGTTCGTCTCCTTACAGTACTACCTTAACCAGCTGAGTTCGTCTCCTTCCAGTACTACCTTAACCAGCTGAATACATCTCCTTACAGTACTACCTTAACCAGCTGAGTTCGTCTCCTTACAGTACTACCTTAACCAGCTGAGTTCGTCTCCTTCCAGTACTACCTTAACCAGCTGAGTTCGTCTCCTTCCAGTACTACCTTAACCACCTGAATACATCTCCTCAGTTATCTCTAGGACCCTCCCCCTCCACACATTAACCATTCCCTATTCTTCTCACACTCATTGGCCTGACACACACATCCCAGATTCATTTATAAGCCCCTTCCACGTTTAACGTGTAAAAAAAAAACATCTCCGAGAGCGGCTTCTTCGTGCAAAAGGAAACAATGTCACAAAGCGCAGTGAAATGCAGCGACCTATGTGGCGTTTCCTGGTGGATCGAGGTTGTTCATTTTATACGTGCAATTCACACGAGCTCTAAGCTGGTGCGAGACTGCTGCAAGTATGCGCTTATAGCTAATAATGTCGTGGAAAATACATAGAGGACACTGACAACACGCTGACAGACAGGACCAAGCAGGTAACATTTAATAAAGTCTCAAGTTTCAAATTGGGTCAGTCAAAGAAAATTAAACCATAAATAGGCCGACTATTTTGTGGTGTCTTGACAGATTGCACTTTTTTCAGTAAGCTAGGCCTGTGTGTTTTCAAGGCTTCAAGATTTTATTGAATGCTACCTCTGACTAAGAATGCACTACTTTGCACTTGTATAGTCTCTTATTTTGGAATTCTAAGAGCAATAAACATATATTGCAATGTTAAGGAATTCATGTTTTTTTTCCATTCAGATATGTAAATCAACATGTATAAATTTGCTATTAGTCAGTTAATGGAGAGATAATCGATAATCGAATTGAATCGGACTGGGAAAATGAATCGTTAGATTAATCGACGCATCAAAAAAAATAATCGCTAGATTAATCGTTTAAAAAATAACCGTTTATCCCAGCCCTAACTGTTACATATAGTATTATAAATGTGTTCAGGAATCTTTGTCTCTGGAATGTCTGTCAACGCAGAGCGTTTTCTCACCCGAGCATATGGATATTATTGTTTTTCTCATGAACGTGAAACAATTCAACACAATAACCATATGCTGACTTGAGTGTATATGTACGTTCTGTACGATAACTGCCAAAGAGTGCTTTATTAGCGCTTTATTTCGTGCTGTTTGAGCTTGAATGCTTTTGTTCTTTATATTTTTTTGTTTACACATAATGTTTAATGTTTTCAAATAAAATTTAACCTCAAGATTTATCGTAAGCAGAGCTGCCTACACTGGTACAACACATCCGTATGCCAACTATACGGATTACATAAGAGAGTAGTCTGTTTCTTTTCGTTTTGTGACCAAAATTTGAGAGTGTGCGACTGAATTTTACATCCAGTCTTTACACTTGTGCGACCAGTAAATTTGCCCTTTTTTTCCCAACACGTTAAACGTGGAAGGGGCTTATAAATGAATCCGGAATGTGTGGCAGGCCAATGAGTGTAGATAGATAGATAGATAGATAGATAGATAGATAGATAGATAGATAGATAGATAGATAGATAGATAGATAGATAGATAGATAGATAGATAGATAGATAGATAGACAGACAGATAGATAGAAAGGATAAAATATGACCTTCAGGATAATGTGATTTGTCACTCGCCTAAACACCATGTATTATATTTAGGCCCTACACACATACTTTTGTCAACGCAGACACACATTGCTCTCAGACATCCACACATACTCAGAAACATCATTTTAGATCATTGAGCCATTCAAATGCTTCATAACAGCCAACAGTGCCTCTAGTGGAAACCAGGAAAATAACATTTCCACCCATAGGGAATACCTATATCAGGGGTCGGCAAGTAACTCTGGCCGCGGACCAAATTTTTTTTTTGCCAGTAGATGGTGGGCCAGCTACAAGGAGTAGCCTATGGATACAAATTAAATACTCTTAATGAACTCTGTCTCAACTCCCATTTCAATGTTGTGAATAATACATTTGTAGCTTACAATATTTTGCCAGTGATCAGCTTCTTTTCAACACGAGGCCTTTAATTCCATGCCACCCTCCTCATCACATGATACAATGTTCAATATGTGTTGTAACTTGTTACGTAGGCGGTAGGCCTACAAGTCAGAAAAGAAAATGAAGACTCAAATTTTATAAAAAATTTACCCTGCCCATTAAACTTGTTGTTAATTATTCAGTTTGGGCTTTGAACAAACTTCAAGTCTATCAAGTTTATGACAAACTTCTAAAAACAACTGTAACAAAAGTCTTTGTAAAGAAATGCTTGCTCATATGTAGCCTGGGAGCCGCTGTTGAACGCTTCCAGTGTGAATACTCGCGCGCGTCTGCAGTGACGATGTAGTTGCGCTGCTCACGCGCCACTCATGCTTGCTGTGTGAAACGGCCGTGTGGATCATGGGATAAAATGTCTTTGTCCAAAAGGTCTTAAGAGGAAGGTTGACGACGAAAATAAAGTCTTTAGAGAGGAATGGAAATAGAGTTTTCCGGACTTTTTTGCGGGGGGGAAAAAACGGACTTCCAAAATAATACGGCGGGCCAGAAAATATTCTGTTGCTGACCCCTGACCTATGTAGTGACGTCATCTGGTGAAATACACTATATAATGCAAATATAATGCTTTTGATTCAAAATGAAAGGATGTGTTAACATAAATCATGATTCATGTATTAATGACGGCCCGGCTTTAAACGACGTTTTAATGGGTTTTAATGGGCCATTTTTGGTCATTATTGTGCTGAGTGTTAGCTACTATTTGATCTACACAGTGTGTGTCATAATATTTTGCAAAATGGGATCAATTTTTTTACATTTATCCAAAAAGTCACAATTTTGCCAAATTACATACCATTTTTATTAAAACAGCCAAAATGGTCAAAGAAATAAAACGCAAATGACCAAAAATGTCCCTAATGCAGCACAAGGGTTAATAAGCATCAAATGACAAATGAGTTCAGCTTTGAGAATGAAATCAACCTGTTTGTTCCTCAGGATCTTCATCTTTCACTCTGAATGTGACTTCAATCTTTACATCTTCACTCTCCTCTTTAATAAACGCCATATTCACGTCTTCACTCTCCTCTTTAATAAACGCCATCTTTGTTTGTTCCTCAGTATCTTCCTTTTTCACTCTGAGTGTTTCTTCAATCCTCATCTCTTCATTCTCATCTTTAATAAACTCCATCTTCATGTCTTCACTCTCCTCTTTAATAAACTCCATCTTCATGTCTTCACTCTCCTCTAATAAACTCCATCTTTATAATTGTGTGTCACGTGGATCTCAGTCACTTCACTAGGGTTTTTTCTGTGTGTTTGTCCTGTTTAAGATGAGAATAATTAACAGAAAGACAAGTAAAACCAAACTAAATCCCCTGTCTCAATCAGCTCTAGTTCAGTTCACTGGTCAGTCAGAGTGAATGGACTTAAATGATCTGATTAGACGAAAATAAACATTTGTAATACATTTCCTATTTATTGATTTGCAGATTATATTTAATACTACACGTCACTTTCATGAAAACATGTTTAGTTTGTATATTTATAGTAGTTTGAGCAGCTGGTGACGTCAGCATGCGGTGATTCGAATCACTGATTCATTTTTTTCTAAACAATTGATTCAACTCAAAGAGTCAGATGAGATTATCTTATCATAACAGAGATGTCTTATTATATTCCTCACCCCAATGTCATTCAAAACATTATATTATCTTATATTAGTCATCGAATGGCTTTGATCATAAGGCTTGTTCGACTTGAACCGCCGCTGCACAGACCACTCGGTGGATAAGTAACGTTAGTTAAACATCCAAGTACCGCGAGAGTGATTAGAGAGCTGACGGCTATAAATTACAATAGGTGTGTTCGCCATCGGCTGCGGCTGGATGTAACTGATCGGCGAGAGTAGCCGCGTGCAGGCGGGGAGGAGCTGCAAACGGAGACGTGAAGTCGGACACTTTCTGGTTCCCGTAGTGATCGCTCACGTGGTGTTTGTATACTTTACCACAGCTGAAGTGAAATAAATTAAATATTTGCCAAATACACCGATATTTCAGACACATTTTCATTCAATACTTTACTGCTTCATACTGCATCTGTTTGAACTAGAATAAAGTTCAAAATAAGCCACTATCAATGAAGTGGAGTCAACGTTTTTTAATCAGTTTTATTTTGATAAACATGACACGATATAACATCGCGACTACATGAAAAGACTGTTTACTGTTATAAAAAAACTGATTTGTGAGCTTTAGTGGAACTAAAGGTGTGAGAATAAACACGAAACTGAGAATAAACACGAAACGCACGTGATCGTTGTCATGCGGTGAATCCGGCCAATCGTGGAACAGCTGTGTCGTCATCAGAGCTCGTGCAGCCGCTCTTCAGAAGCTGCGCTGGCTGAGTCCTCCGCTACTCTCGAATCGCTCTCGCGCTACTTTGATGGCATACGTCACAGTCATGTGGAGTCAGCGCTGCATCAAGTCGGACAACATTTCTAACCGGCATGCACTGCTTCTAGTCAGCCGCCGATCGGTCTGCGCAGAGCTGCATGAAGTCGAACAAGCCTAATGTTAAATATAATAATTAGGCTATCATAAATATAATAATTAGGCTATCATTTTACATAATAAGTAAAACTATAAAAATGCCTGAACGGTTTGTATCTATTTAAACAGTAAAATACTTACAAACACAAACCTTTCTTCAGCCGAATCTCAACAGATGCAGGAGCGCGACGCAGCCTTATGACGTCATATACATACTCCAAAATAAAAGTCCTTTTTCCCCACACTCTGCGGTCTACAATTATATATATATATAAATAATTAAAGAGTATTCAGTCTACATGTATATATAATACTGACATTAATAAAGTAATATGAACCATGTTGAGTTGTTGTTCTGTACATCTCCACAAGAGGGCGCTATCAACATGTGAATGATAATTGCAAGTTAATAATCATCTCTAAATCGCACTTATATTGTGATGTATGAGATATACACAAGCATCTCACATCAACATAATGTAGAAACACTCTAGACTGCATGGACTCTCACAGGTATTATACAAGCTATATGTAGTGATGGGCAGATCGAGGCTTCGTGAAGCAATGAAACAGTTGAACCAAATGGTCCATATTGTTTCGAGGCTTCGAATCAATCCGACACCCGTCTCCACGGCGACACCTAGTGGTCACTTGCAGGTGTTGATCTGAAACAACCTTGACGAGCCATGAAAATTTGTTGTTTTTTTAATATTGTACTTTTCTAATATGTGAATCTTGTAACCTATAGGCTCCTCACTGTGCATAATGTTATTTTGGTCCTGCAAAATGAATATTAATAAAATAAATCAAGCCACAATATCTCACTTTTTTTTTACATATTTTTATTAAAAAATATTAATTTCTCTGCTGTTGAAGGACTCAGCCTACTTCTTTTTTTACAGATAATTTCTCCAGCCTTTGAAAAAATCCTCTCACAAGGGACACTTGTTGCTGGCATGCAAAGATATTTTTTAGCTAATACATACAAATGAGGAAAGATTACTGCTCTCTCTTTCCAGTAAGTTAGTGGATCATGAGTTCTGGGCAAATACGCATCGTTGATGTATTTTTTCACTTCCACTGTGGCATCAGCTGTAGTATTGTGTATCATCTGGGTTTGATGGATACGAGTATCAAAAAGTTCCCATAAACTGTCCTGTGTTTCTACTGGTGATGGTGGTGATGGTGATGATGTTGACATTTCTGGCTCTGAATAAAAATGAAAACAGCAGTTAGTAACAAATGCTAAACTGACGGCATAATGAAGTATATATTACATGAATCAGATTACACAACATAACACAGACTGAAACGGCTCACCAGGATTTGTGTTTGAACGCATCAGTGAAGCACACTCCAGTGTCATGAGCTTTTCAGCGTCCTGGGCTTTGGCAGCATTTCCAAATGCCATCATTTTGAACCTTGGGTCCAGCAGTGTAGCCAGTGCCAAGGCTCTAAAACTCTCATAACCGCCACATCTGGACTGCAGACCTTCTTGCAGATGTGAGCCTATGAGCCAAAACAGGAGAAAAAATATATATATAATAATGACAATAATGTGACAGTTATGGCCAATTACATGGGTAGTATGGTCATAGTGGCCTACCTAATTGTACAGTTGATTCCTGTGTTGCATTTCCTTTTTTCTGTGGAAGCTTGTGCTGCAACATCCTGTACAGTGGTATTAGCTTTGAAGCAGACACTCTCTTTTCCTCTGACATCTCTGTTGTTGATCATACAAGCGTTGTAGCATGTTGAATGTGCTGTTCCATCTCGTCTCAACCTCCTGTATCAGTTTCAGAGTTGGTCTTCCCATCAAGCCCTCCATCTCCACAAGCTTGTCCTTTGCTTTGCAGCTGGATCTGAACAACCCCACTATCTTTCTGGCCTTCTGGCGTATTTCATTGAGGACTGGGGTTTCATCTAGGGCCTTTGTCACAATCAAATTTAAATTATGAGCAAAACATGGGACACGGCGAAGGAGCCGTTCACCGCCGATCACAATACACACATCTCACTTTATTTGGGGTTTCTAAATGGAAATGCTCCCACACCACAGATGTATGGCATCTCTTCTGGGGAGCCTCCATTTTATATATCTATCCAAATCTATCTAGATATGTATCTCTAATCTATGTATGTAATTAGATATATGTATATCTACTATCTATCTATGTATTTAGATGTGTATATATAGGCCTAATATGTATCTATAATCTATCTATGTATTTAGATATGTATCTATAATCTATGTATCTATAATCTATCTATGTATTTAGATGTGTATATATAGGCCTAATATGTATCTATAATCTATGTATGTATTTAGATATGTATCTATTTATTTATATATGTAGCCTATCTTTAATCTATCTATAAATGTATCTATCTATCTTTCTATTAATCTAGTAGTCTATATATATTTATATCTATGTATCTATTAATGTGTCACTATATGTATACTCTGTGTCTCTAGCCTATCAGTCAATGTGTTGTGTAAATTTAAATGTAAGCCTAAATATAACTAAACAAATCGCACTATAAATGTCACTATATCACCAAAAATCCGCTATCTCAAAATCAAACTCCTCTCACAAAAACCCACGAGGTCAATACTATGCGTTGATTTCACTTTTATACAGATGTGCGATTGTGTGGTCTGTTTCCGACCGTGTCAACCAAACGCTGATTCGGCGGATCACACCTGATGAAACACTTAGTGAAACACTTCGAGGCTTCGTTTGGCCATAGTCACGTGACATGGGTGTTTTGAATCACGCTTCGAATCAGTGTTTCGAAACATCTGCGCTTCGGGATCTCGCAAAGCTTCGGAACGACTGTTTCGCGGCAGCCATCCCTAGCTATATGTGCTAATTGGCTACTTTTCATAACATAAGAATAAGTAGACGATCTCTCAACATTAAGCAGGAAATACAGCTATCACTTACTTTACACACACACACACACACACACACACACACACACACACACACACACACACACACACACAGAGTAACCCAATAATAACTCTGTGGCGTAAGCACCGATGATGGATTATAATAAAGCTGACGAACTTCTCTCTCTCTCTCTCTCATGTGCTGCTCGTGCTCGCTCTCTCTGACAGCTCTCGCTCAGCGCTGATGACGTCGCAGCAATAGAGCGTGCTGATTGGTCGGAATTTAAACACACCTGGGGTCTCATTTATAAAACTGTGCGTAGAATCCTTATTAAAAGTGTACGTGCGTCCAAAAGCCAAAAATGGCGTACGCAAACAAATATTCAGACTTATAAAACCGTGCGTACGCCAGAACCTGCGCAGAATTCCCTTTATAAATCCCGATCAATCTCAGTCAGCGGAAGATTGTGCGCACATGCGTCTCCTCCCCGAAATAACCATATATGGAGCTTACAACGCCTAGTTTTACTATGCATATCCTCATCTGCATATCATTTGCATATGATTATTCATCCACGTGATAACATGTTTAACGGTACAAGACATTTGGAAAATATGAAATACGGATGTGCCGTCACATTAGTTACACTAATAAAAAATAATTTTGTAGCCTATCCTTGACTTGTTTTTGAATAAATAAATCAAATAGTGTTAAATACATTTAAAAAACAATTTTCTCAGACAATCTGCTATTATCATAAGCAATTATCTCTGTAGTTAAAACATTAAAACAGCATGCCAGAGGAAAAGTGTTTGAAAGCATTGCATCCACAACAAATATTTCTATTCATTGAATATAAAAAAAATGTTGTAACTTCTCAGTAATGATTTCATGTAATTTAAGTGTCTAACTCCTTTAATCAGAATGGCATATTTAATCTAAATGTTTAAATCAGAAGTAAAACATAGTTTTATTTATTTACACTGATATTGTGAACATATTTCACAGAACACTGTATTTGTCACGGGTTATGGTGCAGGATGAAGAAGGAGGCTGAGTCAGAAATCTCCAATTCCAACATTTACTAGTATTTCTCACTGGAACAAACAGACAGGCTGGATTACACTCACATCCAATACAACTAACAACCGACAAAGACAGACTGAACAGAAGGAACTAAATACAAGCAAGAATCAGACATAACAAGGTGAAAACAGGTGACACTGATGATGATAACGAGGGACAGGCTGGTAAGTGAGGGAGTGAATACAGGTGTGGAGACGAGGAGGATTCTGGGAAATGTAGTGCAGACACAAAGACAGACTGGTGCAGACGAGGACTGTGACATTACTCCCCCCTCCCGGTAGGCGTGACCTCACGCCGTAGAAGAGGGATGGGAGGGAGGGCATCCTGGCGGCCAGGGCGGAGCTGGCAGATCAGGTGGCCATGGCGGTGAAGACCCTTCAGGCGGCCACGGCGGTGAAGACCCTTCAGGCGGCCACGGCGGTGAAGACCCTTCAGGCGGCCACGGCGGTGAAGACCCCTCGGGCGGCCACGGCGGAACCGAATGTCCGATGAGCCATGGCGCCATTGCAGGCTTGGATGACTGAAGCTGCGCCGCTGATCTGAGGGACTGAAGAGGTGACGTAGGGATGGATGACCGGGGTGACGATGTGGTGAGGGAGGCCGACAGGGAGGACTGAGGAAGGGAGGAGTCCATGGATGCTGAAGGGGTGGAGGGTGAGGGCGCAGCCCGAATCCCGGAAGTCCGTGGCAGTAACTGGACTTCGACCACCGAAGGCCAACTTGGAGTGGCGATCGAGCCCAGCGGAGCTTCCGGGCAGACAGACCGCGGAGGCGATGAAGGAGCCGAGGATCTAGGTGAAGGCGAAGGAGTGACAGGCCGAGATGAAGGTGTGTGCTCTGAGGACTGAGGTGTAGCCGGGGACTCGGCCACTAGCCACGCTGGAGCTGCAGGCTGGCAGGCCCACAGCGACTCCACCTCGTCAAAGGTGTTAAGGTGAGCTGAGGGGATGACTGGCGGTGGCGGAAGAGTGGAATGGTGGCAGATGAGAGGAGGTGGGAGAGGGAGGCTGGGTGGGAACACAGTCTCTGGCTGGGCAGACGGGACGTTGACAGTCTCTGGCTGGACGGTCTCTGGCTGGACGGTCTCTGGCTGGACGGTCTCTGGCTGGACGGTCTCTGGCTGGACGGTCTCTGGCTGGACGGTCTCTGGCTGGACGGTCTCTGGCTGGACGGTCTCTGGCTGGACGGTCTCTGGCTGGACGGTCTCTGGCTGGACGGTCTCTGGCTGGACGGT